TTCAATCTATAACAGTGAAAAAAAGTTTTTTGCTTTTTAAATCCAAACTATTGTGACACCAGATCTAATTAGTGGCACTTGTCAGCGTATCCACTGTTAGCGTAACACGCCCGCTTTAAGGACACTGACTGCTATTCAATCTATAACAGTGAAAAAAGATTATTTTTTTTTTAAATCCAAGCTATTGTGACACCAGATCTAATTGGTGGCACTGGTCAGCGTATCCACTGTTAGCGTAACACACCCGCTTTAAAGACACTGACTGCTATTCAATCTATAACAGTGAAAAAAGATTATTATTTTTTTAAATCCAAGCTATTGTGACACCAGATCTAATTAGTGGCACTGGTCAGCGTATCCACTGTTAGCGTAACACACCCGCTTTAAGGACACTGACTGCTATTCAATCTATAACAGTAAAAAAAGTTTTTTGTTTTTAAATCCAAGCTATTGTGACACGGGATCTAATTAGTGGCACTTGTCAGCGTATCCACTGTTAGCGTAACACACCCGCTTTAGGACACTGACTGCTATTCAATCTATAACAGTAAAAAAAGTTTTTTGTTTTTAAATCCAAGCTATTGTGACACCAGATCTAATTAGTGGCACTTGTCAGCGTATCCACTGTTAGCGTAACACACCGCTTTAAGGACACTGACTGCTATTCAATCTATAACAGTGAAAAAGATTATTTTTTTTTTAAATCCAAGCTATTGTGACACCAGATCTAATTAGTGGCACTTGTCAGCGTATCCACTGTTAGCGTAACACACCCGCTTTAAGGACACTGACTGCTATTCAATCTATAACAGTAAAAAAAGTTTTTTGTTTTTAAATCCAAGCTATTGTGACACCAGATGTAATTGGTGGCACTGACTGGGGAAATGGGCACAGTATGCACTGTGAGCCTGACACAGAAGCTGGCAGCAGTGGCAGACAACTGACTGCTATTCAATCTATAACAGTGAAAAAAGTTTTTTGTTTTTAAATCCAAGCTATTGTGACACCAGATGTAATTGGTGGCACTGACTGGGGAAATGGGCACTGTGAGCCTGACACAGAAGCTGGCAGCAGTGGCAGACAACTAAGTGCATTTACATTAGATAGAAAAAAAAAATCCAAAAAAAGCATACCCTTATCCCTAACCTAGCTATGCTTTTCCCTATCTTATGAACAGCAGCTACACTTTCCCTCCTCTTACTAAGCATGCAGCTTGAGAATGAATCTAAAATGGATGCTGTCCAGTAGGTGGGAGGGTCTGCTAGGGAGGCTGTGCTGCTAATTGGCTGGAATGTGTCTGCTGACTGTGAGGTACAGGGACAAAGTTTACTCAATGATGACGAATAGGGGGCGGGTCGAACCGCGCATATGTTCGCCCACCGTGGCGAACGCGAACATGCTATGTTCGCCAGGAACCGTTCGCCGGCGAACCGTTCGGTACATCACTAATGCCTATAGCTGTGTATTCAATTTTACCTTCTGTTTTATACTCATTGTTATTTTTTTTGTGTTTTTCTGTGCAATTTTTATATTTAATGTACTTTTTATACACTGCTCAAAAAAATAAAGGGAACACGTAACACAATGTAACTCCAAGTCAATCGCACTTCTGTGAAATCAAACTGTCCACTTAGGAAGAAACACTGAGTGACAATCAATTTCACATGTTGTTGTGCAAATGGGATAGACAACAGGTGGAAATTATAGGCAATTAGCAAGACACCCCCAATAAAGGAGTGGTTCTGCAGGTGGTGACCACAGACCACTTCTCAGTTCCTATGCTTCCTGGCTGATGGTTTGGTCACGTTTGAATGCTGGCGTTGCTTTCACTCTAGTGGTAGCATGAGACGGAGTCTACAACCCACACAAGTGGCTCAGGTAGTGCAGCTCATCCAGGATGGCACATCAATGCGAGCTGTGGCAAGAAGGTTTGCTGTGTCTGTCAGCGTAATGTCCAGAGCATGGAGGCGCTACCAGGAGACAGGCCAGTACATCAGGAGACGTGGAGGAGGCCGTAGGAGGGCAACAACCCAGCAGCAGGACCGCTACCTCCGCCTTTGTGCAAGGAGGAACAGGAGGAGCACTGCCAGAGCCCTGCAAAATGACCTCCTGCAGGCCACAAATGTGCATGTGTCTGCTCAAACGGTCAGAAACAGACTCCATGAGGGTGGTATGAAGGCCCGACGTCCACAAGTGAGGGTTGTGCTTACAGCCCAACACCATGCAGGACATTTGGCATTTGTCAGAGAACACCAAGATTGGCAAATTCGCCACTGGCGCCCTGTGCTCTTCACAGATGAAAGCAGGATCACACTGAGCACATGTGACAGACGTGACAGAGTCTGGAGACGCCATGGAGAACGTTCTACTGCCTGCAACATCCTCCAGCATGACCGGTTTGGCAATGGGTCAGTAATGGTGTGGGGTGGCATTTCTTTCCATGAGAGGTAGCCTGACTGCCATTAGGTACCGAGATGAGAATCTCAGACCCCTTGTGAAACCATATGCTGGTGCGGTTGGCCCTTGGTTCCTCCTAATGCAAGACAATGCTAGACCTCATGTAGCTGGAGTGTGTCAGCAGTTCCTGCAAGACGAAGGCATTGATGCCATGGACTGGCCCGCCCGTTCCCCAGACCTGAATCCAATTGAGCACATCTGGGACATCATGTCTCGCTCCATCCACCAACGTCACGTTTCACCACAGACTGTCCAGGAGTTGGCAGATGCTTTAGTCCAGGTCTGGGAGCTTGTTCCCGTCATCTAAACCAAGCATGTCAAACTCAGCACGGGCCTCATAAACAAGGTTTAAGTTTATGTGGGCCACACACACACATACTCACTGACTGACACACACACTGACAGACAGACGCACACACACACTGACAGACACACAGACAGACACACATACAGACACACACACACATACTCACTGACAGACACACACACACACATACTCACAGACAAACACACTGACAGAAACACACACACATACTCACCGACAGACACACACAGACACACACACTCACAAACAGACAGACACAGACACACACATACAGTCACACTGACAGACACACACACTTCAGTCGGCGCGCGCAAGGGAGCAGTGAAGAGCTGGAACATTGAGCTCCCTCGCGGTCCTCTTCCCCGGCCGGGTTAATGTTAGCAGAGTAGGCACCTGCAATATGGGGAAAGCAGGTGCCTACTATGCTATAACACTGAACATGCACTCGTGGCTCACTGGGCCGCAAAGATGGTCCTTGTGGGCCGCATGCGGACCACGGGCCGTGAGTTTGACATACTTGATCTAAACGAATGATCTCACCGAACAGTGCCCTTCTAAGCTGAATAGAAACGAACGCAGGCGATGATGGAAGTTCAGCGGTGTTCGGGAGTTTCTGTATCCGATTTCGGTTCCATGAAATTCATGCCCAAACACCGCTGCCTGCGTTCATGCGAACAAGATGGCCTCCACCTCGTGGTTGTTCATAGGAATCGCGGCCACCCAGACGAACAAGTAGAACACTGCAGTGAGAAACTTTTCAAGTTGTTAATAAGTGTTAACAAGCTCCAGGGTGGTCTCTGTTCGTGCTGCTGTTCGGTAAACCATATAGTCACAGTTGCACAAACAGAGCCTCTTTGAAGTATATTAGCCAGTTCTATTGCAGGGGCCATAGTCACAGGGTAGGAGGCTGGCAAACACGGCCCTCCAAAAACTCGTGGCAAACTCCCAGAAAAAGGGGAGTTTGTCACAAGGGGTAAGTGAATTAAATTTTTAGCGCTGCACTCATACTTGGTCAAACAGGGTCAGATCACTTAAACTGTGTTTTTCCAAGGCTTTTTGTTGTCAAACTAAATGTTGACTTGGTTCAAAAACCCTCTACATTTAGAGGGGTCCTCGCTATAACACAATGAATGTGTCGGATTAGTGTAACTGCGGTGGGTGGAGGATCTGCCCTAGCAGACACACAACCTGGGGCTGTCCCACAGCTGGCATTTTAGCCAATTTAGTTATTAAAGTTTGCAAGCTCTGTGCAAATTGATGCATACGGTGACCAAGACCATCAAGCCTTGCATTATAAGCCAGTATCTGGGGATTCAAACATGCAGGGTCCATTTGCCCTGTTGTAATGTAGCGTTTATACCCAACACGCAGAATGTAAATATTTAGAGCAATAGAGAGTAGAGAAAGAGAAAAGGTCCCTAAACTGGTCCTCAGACAGGTTAATAACAGGACAATATGGATGTCAGAACAAGCCAAGGTCAAGGGAAGGCAGAAAATGACGAAAATTTGAAAAAGAGCCCAGTCAAGGGAACCAGAGTAACAGAGTAGTCAAAAGGGAAGCTGGTTCAATACCTAAAATCAATATACAAAGCAAGGAACGCACTATTTGGACACTAGAAACCACAACAAGGCACTGGGCCTTGGGCAGAATGGGATTTTATATGGTACAATAACCATGCCCCCAAAACATGAGAGTGCGATGAACTTTATCACTTAGAGCGCCCCTTCATAAAAAGGTGTGGGCGCACAGTCGTCGGCGTCTAGGAGGCTGACCAGAGCTTCATGCTGCTACAAGGCCCTAGGGAAGTGGAAAACAGCCCACTTAATCTACCTGTACTATACGCCTAGAAGACTGCATGCAGACCTGACCTTTAGTACTTGCATAATAAGACAGACCAATAGGGGCATTGGTTCAGTGGTAAGACATAACTAAAAAAGTGTTAAAGAGGGAACAATCGAGTGTTTCTTTAAGTAATGACCACAGATCTTGATATGCTCAGTCTAGCTTTCAACAGCTTGTCACAAAGCCATTAATAAGAGATAGAGAGGAGGCAATGGAGAACAATAATTAAAATGATAGATGCAAGTTCTTTATAAATACTCAGTTACATTTAAGTC